TCGATAAGGGGAGCTTTGGGAAGATGGTTGACTGTTGTAGTTTGTTGTTAAGTCCTAAATCTTTAAAGGATAAAGTGTTTTTGAGGCTGGCTTCTCTTTTCCAAGAAAATTACCAAATAAGGAAATTTTTTAGGAAAAAGGGGATCAGCATATAACTTTTATTATATATAATTAACTTGGGAATTTATTTTTATATAAATTTTAAATACTTAAATTCTTTTTATCAATCTTTTAATTATATACTTAAAAAATAGTTTTTTAAAAGTTTTTTGATCTTCTAATTAATAAAGTTTTAATGTTTTTATTAAAACAACTTAGAAATGTCTTTAAGTATTATTTTTATTTTTTTTTTCTTGTTTACAAATCTCTTTGATTAAAAACTTATTTTTAGTAATTAAAAAAGTTAGATAAACACCTTTATTATTAATATTCAAAAAGTTTTTTTTTTAAAAAAGAATTAATTATAAAATATTTAAAGATTTTTTTATTATTGAAACAAGTTGTTAAAAGATTTTCTATAATAGAAGATTTAATTTTTTTTTTCTTACTAATTGTTTTACCCTCTTTAGAGATTTTACTTTTATAGTTTTCTAAAGAATTTTGTTTATCTCAATTTAATTCTAAATTTTGAATAAAATATACAATTATTAATAATATAAACTTTTTTTTTAGATGAACAAATTCAAAATTTCTTTTGTGAAAATAAAGTTAGACTAATTGAAAGATCTAAATAATCAAAGACACTTTTTAGATATACTATAGTTTATACTATAAATTATATTACTGGATTGCTTGTTGCTATTATAAATCAAGATTAGTACTAACTTGCTATAATACTGATAATTTCTTGTACAAAATCCTAAGACCTGTTAATGTCTATTCCTTAAAACACCTGAAATAACTACTCTGAAACCCAACTTTGCTAACAAAAATAAAATAGATTTTTATCTATTTGTAAGAACTTGTGAAACCTATCTAATGTTCAGGGATAGATATTAAAAATAGGTGAAGTATCTTTTGACCTTTACTATAATCGGTATAAACCAAGTACAAAAACCAAAACATTGTTAACGTGATGCTATCCTGTATGAAAAATTTTATCAATTGTTCCTTCTCATTTATATAATCGAAAGGAACACTGAAATATTTGAAAATGAGACCCAAGGCACTTATTAACATTCAATCTTTTTCATAAATCATAACTTTGCCATAACCATGCAGTTTTTTTGATGATTTATGATACAGGCCATTAATGCATTTCTTCAGGGCTTCCACATTCGCATCATTAATCTCACACGTGTTTATCAAGTATTCTTTAAATCGTTAATCATCGCTCGGCTTTTCTAATACTTTATCGACGGGTTCGCGCATGGTCTACACATTTCACCTGTAATGATAATAAAAAAAAAAGAAACTCGACACATAAAAACTTACCCAACAGTTGATATACCCCAAAGCTGACCTAGTGCTCCAGTCTTTTCGAAGTATATACACTTCTTATTTGCATAAAATAATCGCCTATTTTCCTCCTCTCCATTTTGTTCTCTTTATTTTTTTATTCTAATTTTAGCATACATTCTTCATAATCTCCAATTTATTCTCGTAGTATATTTGCTTTATTATCATAATCAAATGACTCTTCGGATAAGTTATTATAATACTTTTAATATTTCCTTATTTATTATTGTTTATTAAAAAAAAAAAAAAATTGTCACACGAAAGCTTCAATGAATTTATAAATTCATGATTGGTAACAATAGAAGGAAAGTTCAAATATAAAATTGTTGAATTCTAGTTACCGCAGTACACAATTGAATTATAAAATAATAACAATGCTAATTAATTATAAAGGTAATAATTGATGGCATAATAACTAACGCTAATAATGCCAATTGTCATAATATCAATTTTTTTTATACGTATACATTGTAAACAACGAAATTTTTTTCTTTCATAAAAGGGAAAGGGCGCTTTTATATTTTAAATTTAGCTAGAATTTTGGGTGGCAAGCGTCGAGACGAAGAAATCATTTTTTGAGTGAGTTCAAACTGAAAAAAATAGTCTCGCATCTTTTATTTGCACCAATAATATAAAACTGCTTTTCTATTTTCGTCTCATAAAACGATATGGAATCTTAAAGATGCTCTTTGTATATTTTGAGAAACAAAAGGTTTGGTTACTCTTATTCGGCAATAGTTGTTATTATGATCTCTTTTCAAGCAGAAAATAGTTTATATTGACAAAAAGACCACATACGCAACGTGTTATCTTTATTATAAAAATGAATTTATCTAAATGCATTTAAAAAGTTCAAATTTTAGGCTTTATTTTTCAGGCAAAGAGGAGTTTTGCGATGTTGCTTAAAGCAAACCACATATTATAATTGTATTGTCTGATTTATGATTTAGATACATTTGTTATAGGTTGATAACAATCAACTTTTGTAAACATAAATAAAAGGAATTGCTAATTAGAAGGAATATTCATTATTTTTTTGAAGAAATTGAAGATTTTTTACTAGATGGCAAAAAATTATTTTGTGTTACACTTGGGCTGTTTCACAGATCAGAAATTACCATGAGGGAATCTCACCAAAAGAATTACTACAACCAATATTAAAGGCATATTGCGATTACAGTATCGCTATGGATTATTCGTCAAGGGATCTCTACGTAAAATCATTTATTCTGTGGTGCAAATGAAATGTAAAGTAAATTTATTGCCTTGCGTTTCTTTCGATCTTCAAATAATCCGTTTATTTGCATGGTGGTAATATGCACCAGGTAGACTAAATAATAAATACGGATTTAGGTTTTTTTTTCGATATCAGGCAAGATGGAAACAGAATCTGGCAGAATCTACGGAATTTTATTGTATATAGCACCGGAAGTCTTGTGCGGTAATATACCGTACACACTACGGAATTAAATATCTACACATTCGGGGAATTTCTTCAGGAAAACTGTACCTTTTGATCATTAGACTGAATTTAAAATTCAAGTGTGTAACGGCTCACGACCTCCGGTACACCACAGGATCCGGCTGACATATTACATGCTTTATTCCTTCCCTTGTCCCACGATTTATTCTTGTCTGGCCTTTACATTGTGCACTATTGTTACGTCAATAAAGTCATTTGCTAATTTCACGGGTTATACTGTATATTCGGCACCATGTGAGTTTTTTTTTTGCAGATATAACAATTTACAACGTAAAAAATATACTGATTGCGGAAAAAATTCTCAAGGAATAATGCATGAATAATTGCTTTATTATTACAAATAAAAATACTCATTATAATTTACAGATTATTCAAAAGTGTTCTTACTTGATGAGAACTTAGTTCCTACTTTTTATTTACCATATAATCCATGCCCCGCGAAAAAAATATCAACCATTTAAACTTTAACACAAATGAATTGTCATCGGATTTGACTAAGACAATTAAAAAAAAAACAATGCATTATTAGTATGGGTAATATTGAAATACCATTTCATTTCGTAGAGCTGAATCAAAGTACTATAATTATTACATTATTTACTCTTATTTTTCATCTGTACCAATAAACCTGACCTTGATGATTTATTGATTTATAGTTCAATCCGTTTAATCTTTGGATTCACATCTTTATAAAATAAGTACTGGAGCGCCTTCTCAGCACGACTCGCATCCGAATTAAAGTAGCTTTCCACATAGTGATGATCATGACACGTTTGTCTTTTATATCTAATCACTCCCATGATTACCTCCAAGAGACCGGTTGGAGACCTATATCCAATGACTTGGACTAGCGTGACTTCAATAGATCCACCGGGGGAATATTCAAAATGGGTATATTTATCCTCGCTTTTAACAAAGACCGCGAACGTAGCTGAAATTAGCTTTCGTTTAAAGCTGTCAGTAGTATCGAAATGATAATTAACAAAATTTTCGACATCATCCTTCTCCAAAATGACGTGTGCCGTTTGAAGCCTCTGTGTTATTGTGTCTGAGCAGGGACATGAATATCCATGCGTTATGCATCCTTTTCCTGTGAGCCATTCATAATCATACTTGTACTGGCTGAATTCTGAAAGCCTGTCACTTATGATTTCCGTTCTTGCAAAAGACATTTTGGTAGCGATCGCAAGAAAAAATAATGCAATTAAGACATTATAATGATTCATTGCTATGAAGACCCTTGACTAGAGAAGGGACGGAAAGTTAATCGTTTTATGTGGTTTAAACATTACGTATCAGGATGAGCATACAAAAATGATTTTTCGTGTCGTACGACTAGCTCGTTAACCGATTATGCTTCGGGGTTAACTACATTAGTTACTTCATTCATTCCATTTCTAGCTATTATTATTATTATTTTAGGATTATCAGATATACGATTTTACTTGTTTCATATAATTTATTATTTAGAATTCAATATGGTATATAATTTTAATTATTTAAACCAATATGCGTAAAAAAAACCAAAAAGAATAATTATTATAGGAATTATAAATGAATATATAGTTGGAAATGTAAATTATCCAAAATTTTAATGTGTAAAACAAAATTTAAGAAAGTTTTATGATAATAATCTACAAACTTAATTAAAAAAACAATTCAGATTGGCAATTTGATCAAAATAGATATTTATTTATTTATTTATTTTTTACTGTAACTCATAACCATGCCATATAACCTGATCTTTATTAAAAAATTTATATAATTGTTTACAATAATACAGATTTTTTATATAAATAACTAATTTATCATTGTACTGAAATATTCTAAGTCAAGTCTAGAAAACAATATTTTACTTCTCTAAAGAACTGATATAAACATTTATCTTCTAAATTCATTGCCAACAATTTGTTACTATAATCTATTTAAAAATATAAATTACTAAATTAATAAAGGGAAAAGGGGAGAAAAAAAAAAAAAGAGATACAATTCAAGTTCTTCAAAAAAAATTCTATTAGTTAAACAATTTTCTTTCAAAAGAGATTGGCTAATTATTTGAATTTCAAAAGAAATCATTTTTATTACTACCTGTGACATCAAATAAATCAATCTAATTAAATTTATTATTTAGGCAAGCATCAAATTGAAATAGCTCAAGAAAAACACAAAGATTTTAATTTCTATATAACAAGTTTATCTAAATCACATAATAAAAGTATAACTTTTCTCCTGAAAGTCAGATGGCAACTGCTAAAATGGTTTTAAAAAACTATAAATATTTTGATAAAATAAATATTTTTTTTATAAAATAAAAAAATTGTTGTCAAATAGAATTTTGGGATAATCAAAAATTTAGATCTCTAGTCATAAAACACTAATAATTTACTAAAAATACATAATATTTCAAATTACATAACTTGACCACTAATAATAGATCTTTAAAGTATTTAGCATATAAAATTTTACAAATTATTTATGTTTCTTTTTGAAAAATAAAATTCATAGCTCTTTACTTTAATAGGAACAAGAGTCAGAAAATATTATAAATTAATGATTTGAATAATGAAGAACAATTAAATTTATATGTATCTTATTTTATATATTTTTATTATATTTATTTATATTAAAAAACATGTATTTAAAAGATTGTTTTTTTTCTTTAATATTAATCCAAAGTTGTTTGTTACTTATTTATATTTAATAAAGTTTTCTTTTAATTAAGATATATATTAATAAAATAACTTTCTAACATTGAATATATTATATTCTACTTAGAAAAATCTTTTTATTACTCAAGAAACATATGAAAAATAGAATTTTATAATCTATATAATTTATTTCTTACTTTTTTGTATCGTAAATATCGTCTTTGAGACTTAAGACTTTTAAAAAAAACAATTTTTGAAACTTTCTTTTCAATCACTATTAATATTATTAGAATATATAACTATAGTCAATAAAAGCTTATTTATATTTTATAAATTAATATAATTCATGTTAACCAATTATTTTTATCTTCAGGTATTTATAATTAGTTTTTTTTTAAAAAACTTTTTTATCATTAATATTGTATTAAAGATATTACTTGATTTTTTTTAATTACTAAAAATCTAATTTTTAATTAAAGTAATTTGTAAATAAGAAGAAAAAGATAAAAATAACTCTAAGTTATACTTTAAATTATTTTAATGAAAATATTAGAACTTTATTAACAAGAAAATAAAAAACTTCTTATAAATATTTTTTTGTATATGATTAAAAAATTGATAAAGAGTTTTTTTAAAAATAAATATTTATTTTATTAAAATATATAATAAATTTAATTTATAAAATATTAAAAATATAAATTTTTGATCACTACTTTCAAAAAAGAGTTTTTTCAAAACTTTATATTTTGAGAATAATAAAATATTAAATCTTTTCTTAAAAATATTTGTTTTATTTAGTAATAATTATATTTTACTCTTTTTATTTACTTTTTTTCTTTAAAAACCTTTTACCTAAAAAGTCAATAATAAGAAAATTTTTCTAAGAAAAAAAAATCAAATAAAAATATTCTCATTTTTTTTTAATAAAAATTTCAAAGTCTAAAAAAAGTATGGACTATATCAACTTTATAAATTAATATATTTTTTTTTATTAATCCACAATCATGTCACAATGGCATGTCTTTATTGAAGAATTGAAGTGAATTTATAATATTTTACAGACTTTCACAAAGTGACTAACTCGTCTTCATACAAAAATACTCTAAGTCACATTTTGAGAACAATATCTTGCTCCCCTAATAGATTGGTAATAATCTCTATCTATCAGGATCATTGCCAATAGTTTATTACTGTTTATTGCCCAAAAACCAATAAATTTCTAAGTTAAAAAAGAGAAAAGAGACAATTCAAGGTTCACCAAAAAAATTCAAAAATAAAAACAACCTTTTCTCAAAAAAGGTCTGCCTGATTGAAATAATCTTCTTGTTTTACTTGAACCTCAGAAAAAATCTTCTTTTTCACCACCTGTAGCATCAGATAAGTCAATTCAACTAATTTTTCATTTAAATGAGCATCAAATTGAGATATCTTAAGGAAAGCATTTAGATCTCAGCTTTTTTCCATTAAAGTTTTGTCATCACTTGAGAAACTTAGATAAGAGATGAAAGTTTACAATCCACATTATCCATCACTTGATCTTTTGGTATCATGGAAATTTTCATTGAGGGACTTGAGCTTTTTAGGATAAATATTTTTGGAACCTTCTTTCCAATAATCGATGATATTATCAGAACACATGAATATGACCAATAGAAGCTTGTTTACATTCTAAAAACTAACTTGTTTCATGTTAGCCAATCACCTTTGATGAGAATTTGTGCTACCAAAAATTCAGGGTCAAACTGAGATAGGCAAAATTTCCCAGAAAACCATGAAAGCGATAGTTCTAAGAGACTCACAAGTAACTAGAAGAGGAAAAATAAGCCCTTCTGTCATCAAAAACCTCTATATATCTCTCGCTTCAAAGGCTAAAAAGGCCTTAGGTACTTCACAGTCAGTTCTTCTTCTTTTGGAAACTTTCTTGCCATTGGTATCAAAGATGTTACTTGACTTTTCTTAATCACTTGAAGTCAAGTTTTTGAGTGAAAAGGTTTGTAAACAAAAGGAAAAGGATAAAAACGACTTTTGAAGTCTTACTTCAAGTTGTTTTAATAAAAGTATTAAGACTTTATTAACAAAAAAGTATAGAAACTTCTTGCAAACATTTTTTTTGTGTATAATCAGAGGATTAGCAAAAAGAGTTTTTTAATATCTCTTTATAAATTAATATTTTTATTATAAACAAAAATTTATTTTCTCTTAATATATAATAGCTTTTTTTTTATTTTTCTAAAAAATTTTATCTATCTTAAATTGATTACATATTTTTGTTACATTGAATTTTGAATAGATTGATTGATTAAAGATTGGTTTTAATTGCTTTATAATTAGTAAAATATAAATAAAGATATACAGTTTATTAAAAAAGTCATTAGACATAGATTTTTATTTATAATTTTGTAACCAATGTATCATATCACATAATTTGTAGCTTAAATGAAAGCTTAAAATAATATGAACAAAATAAAAAAAATTAATATGTTATTTGTTTATCCCTATTTTTAATTACAAACTAACAATACTCATTTATTGACTTGGTTAAATTTACTATAGTTTTGTTTAATATATTTTTTCTCCTTGGTCATAAATTGATACAATTCTTTATATTTTTAGGTTATTATATAGTATTTCTACATCTTTCTTGATAATGGATGCACCCACTCTACTTACTTCTTCTTATATGCTCTAGTAAAAATTGGTATTGCTAAAGAAAGCTTTTTTTAAAATTTATAACTATTTGAATGATACAAAATCATTATATGTAAGACATTTACTCAATTTTCTCTTATTTTATTTGCTAAAGTTCTTGTTAATATAGTCAGGTCTTATCGAATAATTTGTCTCAACATATTTAAAGCCTTCTGTAATATTTTTTTAAGATGATCAAACCATTTCTTATAAACTATAGATTCAGTTTTTTTTAATTTATTGATAATATAATAAATAGTGAACTTTTGGAGACCTGTTCTATGCTAAATTTTGATGATATCTTTAATACTGCTTTTTTACAAATGTTGTATAGAAATGGCCTGTACAGATTGATTGATGATCTTTATATTATCAGTTATAAAAAAAATCCCAATAGGTAGAATGGATTATTAATATAAGACAAATAATAGGTAAAATAATAAAGTTGTAATATACTTTTTTTTTTTTTTTTTTTAACCCACAGTCAGGTCAATATGGCTTGTCCATTTTATTGTAAACATATTTGGTATTTATATATTTTATAACTTTCACATATTAACTCACCTGTCTACAAAGTTTAACCTTCTCTAGATGCAACTTAGAGGATGATATTTCGCTCCCTTTATGGCTTGGATTATCCTTTAGCCACTCAAATCATTGCCTACAGCTCATCACTGTAGATCTCCTGAAGTTCTAACTGTGATTAAAAACCAAACCATTTAAAACCTTT